ACATACGGCAGAACTTTTTTTTACAATTTTTTTTTTAAATTTATTATTATAATTATAAATTGACTATGCAGATTTATTAACGAATTAAAAACAAACATATAAAAGCTTTCCAAAGTGAAATTAACGCATTTTTGTCGTAGTTTTGATATTTTTAAAGTCCATTTGCTGGTTTCTTAACCTAATTAGAATTAACAACGCCAAGCCTTCCGCATTTAAATTTCTATTCTTGTTTTTGTTTATAGATTTTCAATTTGTCCCTATGATAATAGTTGTAATCGGCAGAGATATATAAATCTCGGCTTCCCGAGGTTAATTTCGTTTAGTTTGATTTTGAAAAAATAAATTGAATACGAGCTTTTACTTTTGAAACCCAATTTCATCTTATTAGAGTTATTTAGTTGAATTAAATGTACTCTTATTAATTTTTATTTATTTAAAAGAAAAACTTCGTGAAAATTCTCATTGGCGTTCAAAATTTAGTGCTCGGCTTTTGAACTACCAAACGATTTTACATTACCTTTACAGTTAGTCAGTATGCCTCAGTGGCGCCATGATATAGCAGTGCGGAATATATATCCAGATTCTATATCCCAATAGGTGACGCCACTGTCCTATTTGGAAAAATATGAAAATGTTACTGAAATTAAATGAATTGTATGTAATTTTATTGAATATTTGGTTTTAACTATTTTTATACAAATACTTCATTTTAATTTAATTGAAATGTAAGTTAAAAGCAAATACTTTATTTTATGTCAAACAAAATAGCTTTCTCATACAAAAATATACATACATTAAATACAAAAACTTATATTTTTTAAAGTAGAAATAAAAATAGTTACAAATCTGTCTATGAGCCGTACAAATCCCATTGAAATTCTTCCAGTAAAAACACACACCGACATTCCCCATACAAAAAAAACTCTTACACCCAATTTCAGGGCAATCGACAGGATTCCCCAAAACGGAGTAATAACAGCAACGCTGCCCAAACTGTCCATTAATTTCCCGACTTTGCCTTTTGTGGACTCATTGCCGTTAAACAAATAAAAATAAACTAAGCGTAAATACTTAAGAAGAGAATGAATGCCACGAGGAGAGGAGTTGGTCGTTGTTCGTAGGTCCTTTGTCCTGCGAGCCAAAAGGACAATTGACCTTTTGCCGCTTTCTCATCTCGGCGGGGCTTTCCCTAGTTTGGCCTATTCGGTGCGTCTGCATGCTTGTGTGTGTGTGTCGGATGTGTGTGTGTCGTGTGTGTGTGCTAAACTTTAAATTGTCCAATGCTACGTGCCCCGCATGCGGAGTTCATAAATCCAAGCGCTAAATGTAAACATCAACAGTTGCGCTGCTGCGTGGCCAGTGCCAGCAACAATAACAAGAACAACAATAATAACACCAACAACAACAACAATAACCACACCAACAGCAAGAACAACAATAATGGCAAAAACTTGCAAAGTTCAAACACAAACTAATGCAGCAGGAAAAGCAGGAACAAAAGCCAAGCGAGCCACACCCACGGCCGCCCACCTTGAGTCCACCCCCCTACTTTTTCCTCCCAACTCTCACGCCTTTTTGGCCACTTTCACCGTTGTTGCTATTGGTGTTGTTGGTGTTATTGTTGATGTTGTTGCTGGTGTCCTTAATGCGCGATAACCCAATGTGTGTGTGTGTACAGGGAGAAATTTTGTGTGGAAAACATATGATCAATTTGAATTCAGTTGTAAAAATTTAAGTTTTAATTAAAACGGTTTTAAAATAACTTATCTTAATAAGTTATTATATGCTAATTAGTTAAGACACAAGCTCTGATAAGGTAATGGCTACAAAAGAGATTTATAAAATGTTTCAGACAGAGACAATCCTCACTATCAGATACCACTCAAATAATATATGATAACGATTTATAGGAAACAGCTGTGAGACGGTACTATCTTATGATTTATTACTTTGTTTCCAGTGCAATATCCGGGATTCTTTCTTTTAATTGCGACTAAAATAGTTCATTAGATACAGTGTATTTCCCACAGTGTCCTTGTGTATGTCTGTGGATTGGTAGGTGTTAGCTGTATGGGCTACTGGCGTGACCAAGAGGAGCACACTCCTCTGGCAGGTCGGGGCATGGCTGGCAAGTAAAATAAAATAAACTTGTGTTTTGTTTTCGCTTGTCGTATAAGCAATGGCTTAAAGCCTGGCTTCCACTCCTCCTCCTCTTTCTCCCCCACGAAGTCAACCCCAAACGCATGTGGCCGATGGTAATGACCTCCCCACTCACACAGACACACTCACATGGCTTGTTGCACTTGCCTTTGCCAAGGGTTAAGTTCCGATAATTATGGATGCAAAAGTGGAGCACAAAAAACGAAACTGGAAGTGAAAAACAATCCGCACAGTAGTGAATGTGTGGCATGCCACACTTAAAGTTGTTTACCTTTTTTTACACCATTTATTTTCCCAGTTGAGTTGGAATTTAATTGGTTTATCGAAACTTTTTGTAATAAAACTTAAAATACCCTACTCAATTATGGTCTTGAAAGTTTTTATAAATATAGAAATTCAAAGGAACACAATTAAAGAAATGAATATACTATGAGCATATATCAGGGCACTCTTCGTAGTTGCTTATACTTGAAAATTCTTTAATAGATATTCCTGCTAAATCACCCAATGATGGACAACAAATAAGCACTATCTAATCTGCGGAGTGAATGGTTTAGATAGACCCAAGCTCTGAAGTGGCCAATTGAATGAATTACGACTCTATCTGATCTATAGATAGAGCGTCGTCTGATACAATTAAATCTATAAGTGCCTTAAATCAAGTTAAACAACTCATATGGCTAATAAAATTGTTATGAATATTGATTCATTGGTGAAATTTTAGCCGGAAAGCTGTCTTTGTGTATTAATAAATCAAAGATGACCTAAAGAAAACTTTAACACAAACCAACTTAATTTAATTGACCATTTGACCAAGGCCAGGAACAATTAAAGACACACAATAAATGTTTGGTTCGAATGTCCAAAAATCATGTAAAACGTTTGTTTATTTCAATAATCAAATTATGAAATTTTCGGCCGCAAACCTTTTTGTTTTATCTCTTTCAATTTTATTACAATTATCAGTTCTTTCAACAAATTAATCCATGAATTTCTGTCCCAATTAGTGTAAATGCCACATTGTTTAAGATTTCTTTGCCATTGCCATTGCAACTTGATCCAATTCCCCTTGAATTTTCCCCTGCAGTTTGATAATATAGTTAAAGGTGTTTATTCCTTCGAGCTGGTAATTCAATTGTTTGCAACTATTCATATTTGTGAATGTGTCTGTCTCTTGTTCAAGGAAACTCTATTACAAAGTCCCACGGGGCGGAGAGAAAATCTCCGCCTAATTTAGACAGTGTTTACAGTAAATATGTAAACATACCGCTAAATTGGCATATAGCAAACAAAAATTGAAGCCACAATGGGGGAGGAGTTTTATGGGCGGTGTTGATGGGTGGGAAGTTGGGGAGGAAAACAAAGGCAAGGACACACGTGTAAATTGAGTACACTTGAACCTGAAGTCGCTCATTGATTGTTGTTCTTATTGGCTCTCTATTGGCGCTTGACAAACATAAACAATCAAATATTTCACAAAACGACAAAAATGATTGGCCAATACCATGGCTGGGGGGGAAAACTGTATATATATTTCACACGGAAAGAAAATGTCTCGAGAAGAACGGAAACCAGATCTTTGGATAGTATAAAGAACGGTTTTTTATATTTTAAGTATAGGTAGTTTTTCCCACTGATAAACTTTATATCTTATCATTATTAATCTCGATATACATATATTTGTTCCTTCGTTTTGAACATTTTTTTTTTTAAATTTTGAAATATGAATAAAAACTGTAGTGCAAAGCAAACCATTTCCACATATTTTCGAGTTACAGAAATATTTATAAATTATTTGAAAATATTTCTTCATTATGGATTTCAGCATTATTTATCCATTTTGTAGCTTACATATTTTTTTTAAGCACCTTCAGGCCTGTCCAAGTATACAATCTTATCGCCCGCGTCTCGTTTCCGGCTTATTAAATTAATTGAAAGGCAAATAGCGAGGAGGCGGCCATACCATGCCTTGGATTAGTGCAAGTATGTGTGCCAGAGTCTATTCTATCAGCAGAGTAGCCTTCGTGTGCCAAAACACCTTATCATTTGCACACCGTTGTCGGCGGGGAAATGGGAAATACCTGTTGTTGCAGTTGCTGCTCGGCTCATGTTGCTTGCGATGTTGCTGCCGTTCGCTGGCAACATGTTGCTCGCGTCTACGGATTGGGGCTTTCGGTTTTCGTGGGATTGGGGACTCGGTCTCGGCACAGTGGCTCGTTTTTTGAAACCTTATAATAAAGTCGATTTTTGTGTCATTAAATTTGATCAAATTATAATTTAATGTTTTATCTAAAATTTTTTTTAAATATTTTAAATGCTGTTTAAAGTTTAAACACTTTTTTTAAACATGAAATTAATTATAAAAACTAATATATGTGCAGTATTATATGTAATTTTTTCCTATTCTTCTTTTTCCCAAGTTATTTGTTTTGTTTTTTTTTTAATTTTACTTTGGTCAATTAATAGTTGGTTGATTAATAGAATTAAACAACACATTTCCAATAAAGCTAAACAAATTGATTGCATTGATTGATTTTGTGAAACTTTGCGCAAAGAGACAATGGTTTAAGTAAAGCGAATTAATTATAACAAATTTAAAAAACTTAAAACTAAATTATTCATACAATTTTCAAATAATTATTGCAATAACTGAAATAAATTCAAAAGTTATTAATTTTGCAATGTATTTGGAGCAAAAGGGGCAACTGTGCGCTCGGTCGTCGTGCGCTTGGGGGACTCGGCAGCGGTTCGAGTCTGCCATTCGCTGGCCGACTGACAACTGGCGCCGCTTCTTCTGGCTTTCTGGCGCTGCTTGAGCGATTCAGTTCGCTTCTGTCCACCGTTCGGCCAACAACACGGCGCGCCTGCTCCGCCTGATCCACGCGGTCAACGTTCAGCTTCGCCAACTGCAGTTCGCCGTTCGAAAGTGTCTCTCGATCCGCTGCTGCAGCCGCCCAAGTAATCAAACAAATTGAGACCCCGAAAACAAAAGCACAGAAAATCAATATACAAAAAAGAGAGGCTGAAATATATATCAATAAAATAAACAAAGAGGAAAAACCGGCTTTTGGCTCACGGACGGCTGGAGATTTTGCACAGGGCGACGATCTCGTCGAGAAGATCGACCATCGGCGATCGGCGAGGGGCTCGTCCGACTGCATTCTTCTTCTTGCATCACGTGCAGCCGGCTCCACCAAGCCACGCCCCCACAGCCCCCGCTCCACCTTAACACTTTCAAGGCGATATTTACACGAGAAAAAATTTGTAGGGATTTTATTTGGTGATCTACTTTAAGCGGGTTTATTTATTTATTAGTGATTGCATCAATTGAAAAATATAAACATTGGGTTTGGTGATATTTATTTACTTAAAAATTTGAAATAAGTCTTTGAATGAATTTCTAATAGGGAGCTTTTTTTGTGTGTGTATTTTGTAATTTATAATTTTTAAATTTATATGTTAATATGCTTTTATAACTGGTTTTTTTAATATGATATTATCATGGTTACATGTGACACAAATTTAAGATTTCATTTCTCTATGTTGTTTTTTTAGTAATTTTTGTTTAACAAAATTCAAAAGATCGGCTGAACTTTAATAATGTTAACAACTAAACTATATAATTTATCAGTACAACAAATATTTATCTTAAATATAAAGAGTTATCTTAAAAATTTAATTCACTTATCATACATTTTATCTTATTTAAAATATTTTAGAAACCATATTTTTGATATCATCGATTCATCTATATTATTTTTGAGCTATACCCTATCTTAATATTTTCCGTGTGGCTTTCTGTGTAGAATTTGCTTTATGAAAATTGGCAAGTTTACAGTTGTACTTGTTGTGCAGGGTGTTCCGTTCTCGGCCGCTTGTTAAGTGTTTTGTTTTCGTTACTCAATTGAGCGGCTTCAGAGCTTCAGTGGCGGCAACAATAAAATTAAAAAAACAACCTGAGAAAGCTTTGCATATTGGACCAAATATTGCCCATTGGCGCGATTGAAATTCCAAGGCGGAAATGTGCACAAATTGCGTTTACAATTAAGAGTCCAACACAAAGCAAACTTGCAATTTCTTGACACTACCTGAAAATGTCTCTTAATTAGCTAATTATTTAGGGTTTACTTTGCTTCGGTTTTTTCCCCCGGGAACCCTGACCTCAGCCAACTCTCTCTGAGTGCTGCTCATATTTTGCTTCAATCATTCGAACGTAAACAAATTCCCGAGGAAAAGTCGAGGGGCATTTGAAAAGTGTTTGTTTGTGCTCGTGTTTGAATCGTTTATTTATAGGCATTCAATGCATCTGTCCGAGAGAATGCTCAACATTTATTTGTATTTACATATTGCCATATTGCAAATAATAACAAAATAATAACATAAATGGCCACAAAACATAATCAAAGCCATCAACACAGCATTTACCTGGTCAAATGGATGCACATGAAAATCGACAGCAATTTGAATGCATTTTTTCTTTTAATTTTCACTTGTGTTTATCTCTTTTAATGTCTATGCAAATGTGGGAAGCAAACAGCGAGGTGGGAATATATATAATAAAGAGTGTGGCAAGAGGAGAAAATCGGGCCTATCAATAATGAGAGAGTGCATTTGCACAGTCTCTTTGATAATTAAATAAACGTTATTTGTTGGCTCAGAAAGCTTTTAAATATTGAAATTTATTATGGGAAAGAGAGATTGGGTTAAAATTTGAATCAGTTTTAACAAGTCAAGCTATATTCTTAATTTATAATGGTTAATTTGTTTAGATTTAGCTTAACCTGAAAGTAATACTTAGCTATTATAACTTTTATAACAAATATTACAATTGCTTTTCCTTAAATACTTTAATTTCTTAAAACATATTAAGATTGATATTGAGAATATGGTTTTAAGCTTTCAAATAGAATTTTTTTTAACTAGTAATGTTTTTAAATGTTTCTTCTTTAAATGAACCATGTGTGGTGTTAATTAGATATGGTATCTTACATTTTAAATATTTTTATTTAAGATCAATTAAGTAATTATTTTACAAACTGGAAAACTGTATTCCCCATTAACTGATTGTCACAAAACAAAAACCAAAACAATTATTGTTGTGCAAATGTTTTGGTTTTGGCTTGAAGCGACCCACGCAATTGTTCCCAAAAACTATACTTTGACCTGTCCACGCCACATTTGCAAAGATAATTGGCGAGAATGAAAGGTAAAAATAAAAGCACCCACGGCCAGGAAAAATATTAGAAGGAATCCCAATCCCCAGTGAGGCAGTGAGGGGAAAACAAAAAAAAAAAAAGAAAACAGGCAACCCGAAATGAGAAGACAGCCTCTGACGTTTCGCTTTCGCTTTTCTCTTCAACGCTGGGTATTTTTAGATCAATTTTTCTTCTTCAGCTTGGTCGTGATTTTCTTTTTTTCTTTCTATTTCTTATTTTGCAGCTTTATTTGTCATCAGCGACATGCTTTTACTGCGCCTCGATCGGGGCAATAAATAATTAAATAAATAAACACAGAGAACTTACAGACACTGTATCGAGCATTATGAATCAGTAGAAGCCTATAATTTGCCATAAAAACATATGCATTTTATAATTATCATTGTTTTAATTTTTCTCTAATGATTTATTGTTGCAACCAAACCAGTTTCCGTGACGTCACCGCAAAAGTAAATGCACTTAGCTGCACTTCGCAAAAAAACGAAACAATTGCATTGCAAACTAAATATAGGAGGGGAACTGAGAATGAAAATGCATCAAAGCTGGAATTGGATTTTCAACTGGAGCTGGACTCTGCTGATTTTTTCGGGTGAATATCTTTTCGAGGGTTATCCGACCCGATCTGTCCGAGTCTCTTTATGCCAAAAACGGAGCAAACTTTGGGCCAAAAAATTTATGAAATGCCAATTTCACTTACGTTTAACTTTATTACCCCTGACGCACATTTGCAACTTTGTTGCAACTACTGCTCTAGGAGGTCCTGTTCCTGCTCCTGCTCCTGCTCCTGGCCAAGAGTCTCAGATTGCCTTTTAGCTTTCAGTTCGAGCACTATTTCAATGTTTCTGTTTGTTTGTTTATTTGTCTCTCACCCACGCTCCTCCGCATCCATTCTGTGCTCCATCCTCTGGTCTCCTCCGATTTCCAGCCCTGCTCCTCTCGGTGGCAAGTTCACAGGAATGCGGCCAGGAGGAGTTCACCAAGTGCGCCGAACCACTTGATATGCTGCATTTAACGTCGGAGTTCTCGATTGGCCCGGCCAAGAAGGAGGAACTGGACAAACTTTGTCAGTAAGTGGCCCACGCAGATGAAAAAATAGTCCCTCGTTGATCTGAACAGGTTTCAAAATGCACCAAATCCCTCTAACAATCTCCTTCTATTTGGTATAAAGTCAAAGTTTGATCATCAAGTTCTTTATGTATGCAAATGAACATGTAAAGATATGTAAAATAAGCTAAAGTTAATTGCAGTTGACATATACAAAAACACATTGTATATTTTATGAGCTGTGTAAACAAGCTTAGCTGCAGTTTTCTGCGCATTTCTGTTCTCTACTTCCATCGACAATTTTCTTTGTATTATTGCAATACCTTAAATTGTTTAAATTTAATATCACTACGACTTTGATTTATACTTCTCTAAAGAACTTAGTAAGGGTATAATAAGGACAAATTTTAATAATTTAATATCAAGGATAGTTAAAAAGAACTTCAACACTATTAATGAACAAACCTTGGCTTTATACAATGAAAATAATACTGGTCATAATATTTATATGTACATATATATATTTTTTTTTAGTTCCAGAGCTGCATAAATTCTCAACTTCTTTCACGAAATATTTTCTCTTGTATTTATTTCAAATGTTTTAAACACATTTTATAGCGAGCTTCGTAAGGGTGTAAGGTGCATCCAGAGCTACACTCGCCGTTGCATGGACTTGCAGCAGAGGAATCAGTTCAATAAGCTCTACCATGGAACAAACCAGTTTATTCGGGATCTGTGCAACAAGGGCGAGTTCCAGGAGGAGTACCTGAAGCATGTGCCCTGCTCCGAAATGGCCAAAAAGGAGTTCGAGGTGTGCGCCAGTCGGTACAAGGAGACCATGGTATTTCTAAAGCCCAACAAGAACCAGGAGAATGCGGAGAATGGGACTTTTAATGAGAATATTAAAACCATTTGCTGGTAAGTCAGGGGAAATATTTCAACATTAGGTTGTTCACTTTGAAAATTAGATATTGATATACAATATATTTTAATGAATTATAATATCTTGTAGCTCCATTAACGAACTAGTGGATTGCTCGGAGGATGCGGCCCGTAAAATCTGCGGCAATGAGGCGGCCAAATTCACACGAGAACTGGTCGACAAATACGCCAATAGCCTGACCAAGGTGAGTGCTTAACGGATGCTTTCTAATCAACATATTGTGACTATCTGTATCTTGTAGATTTACTGCGAGGATTTTACCCGAAATCCGGGCATATGTCGGGATGGCGATGGCAATGGTTCCCAGCGATCTTGCGGCAATAGTTTGAGCCTCCTGCTGACAGGGACTCTCATTACAGTGCTGACCAGCAGCAGAAGTCACAGATAGATGGCGGAATCACAGCTAAGTGCATAAATCTAGAAACAGTCTTACCAAAACGGGACAGCCGACAAAATAAGGAGAAATAGTTAAGGTTTCCCCCAAGTCACACCGAATGAATTCCACACGCTGTTGCATACTTTTGGCAGTCAGCTTAGGCCACACGAGTCCTTAGAGAGAAGTCCCCAAAAAAGAGAGAGGAGATAGGAGAGCGAAAAGTAAGCAACACTTAAGCTATACAGTAAAGTAAATGTTAAGTATGCTATGTATACCAGTATGCATATATATATATACATATATATGAAGAGGGTGGTAGGAGAGCTAAGATCGTATATATGTATATACGGTTATGAATGTTACTATATAAAGGATATAGGCTAGATAGTTAGAATCAGTGTTGAGTGTGGCAGGCAGTTAGTTGTTGTTGGCCTTACTTTCCAATCGTCGATCGTGCAATACTAGAGTTTCGTTGAGTTTGTTGCAGCAGTTGTCCAGGCTTTAAGTGTAGGCATATTTTAGGTAATATTTCCTAGGTTCCCCCAAAACCATTGTTAGCTGAAGTTAGAAAGCAACCCTATCCCGCCATTTTTCCGTTTCTGAAACATACTAAATAAAAGCAAAAATTCAAAAACACCTCCAAGCGCACAACACTCCCGAGTGGATTTGCTCACATATCGGCAATAACTTTTACACAAAACGAAAGTGCATTTCTATGAATGAGAGGATTTTATAGATTATTTATAAACCTATTTAGTGGATAGCGTATATTTATTTCACACACTGTAAATACCTTTAAATATATTCAAATTAATAATGCTACAAGGCGTTTGGAAGTATACATATATACATATAAATAAATATTAGTTTAACTTAAATACACACACTCTCTCTCAAACACACACACACACACCTTCTTACCAAAAAACTGTGAATATATATTATGATTAAAGAGTAACATTTATTTTAAGTAAAACACACACATGCATATGCAAGAAAAAACAATAAAAAAATACGAGAAAATAAATTAATGCAAAAAAAAAGCAAAAGGGAAAACGAGCCAAATGGCCGAAGGTTCAATTTTGAAGACCGAAACAAGGATTACCCTGTTATGAGGATCAAACAATGTAAGATAAGTATGTAACTTAATTCAAGATTTGGTTTCAAATTAAACTTACATCTAATTTTGGGTACCTTGAAAAGAACTGAAGGGACTATCCTTTAAAAGAAACCCAGGTAAAGTGGTTGAAATTACATATTTTATAAAAATTTTTAGCTTATATATGCCTTTAATTTAATTTAAGAAATGGCTCTTCATTAATATTTACCTATAAAATACCTTCACAATTAAATTATAAGACATTCTTAATTAACTTAATTTTAAAGAGAACTTTCTCTTTATCAATTGGTTTTAATAGCTATTATTCTTTATTATATATAATTTATTTAATTTACATCTTCTACAATAGTAGCTTTCCCACTTCTATAAAATTAAAATGAACTCAACATCTAAACCCCCAATCGAAAGGGTATAAAAAGCGAACGAGTGCCGTGCCAAAAATGCTTTTTACTGCAGGATAAAACCGAGCGCGGCCAAAAAGTATGCAGCTCTCCCCGTCCCGGCGCCCAAAAGTATTCTGCGCAAATATGCCAGGACTGTTGGCATACTGGCTCGCAAGGGGGAAAAACCAAGCAGGAGAGAGGGTCGGCGTTACCAGAAGGATTCGCCAGAACGCGTGGAGAACGCGGCGGTGACCTGCTGCACCGAGGCTGGCCATAATTTATGTTTATGTGGTGCGTTCATTAGACTAGCAGCGTCGACGACGACGACGACGACGACGGTTGACTTCTCGCCTGGCAGCTAATTTATAAGGTCGGCACACGACTCAAGGACACGTACGTACAAGGATATTCGGCGCTCTGGGGGTGAATAGTGGCTTGCTGCCGCTCGGGTGCAATAATTACAGTTATCATACTTGGCCAGCGTCCTGAATTTGCGTTTGACATTCGCAATCTTGGTCGGACATTGATTTGGTTTCCTCATGGCAGTGATATGTGAGCGGTTAACTGTCATAAGCCTGCTGTTAACTAATTAAACTAAGCTAACCATCAGAGGCTGATTAAATCAGTGACTAAGGTTTTAGAACGCTTTAAAGTTAAAGGAATATTGGTATTGATTAATAGGGTAATTTGCAATGATTAAAAGCACACTTGAATATCTTGTTTTATTATATATTTACAAGATATTTAAAGAGCAGTTTAGTCTTTATCTTTTATCTTGCAAATATTATATTATAAGGATAAAACATGACATGCATTATATAATCTCTTTACTTGTTATGAAATCAAAGAGGATTACTATATATTATATATTTGCTATTTAGTATAAGCAACTACTATAAGTTTTAAGTAAAGCAAATCTTCTTTTATTTTCATTCATATTTTTCCTCATAATCCTTATAGCCCCAAAAATCAAATTGTGCAATTTAAAATTCTGTCTGATGATCTCCTATAAAGAGTTCTTTAAATTTAATTTCACAATGAATTATTTTCAGGTCAAATTCTAGATGCTATTCCTTTGAAGCCTAACCATTGGGCTTCAGCCTTTTCTGTCAATAAATATGTATATATTGGCTTGACATTTCCGGACATCTTTTGCAATCACATCTCGGAATTGCATTTTATGAGAGGCCATGAGAGGCATATTCGGACTGTGGAGCAAAATGCTTAACAAATCAATAAACGAGTTAAGGGGGGAGCCATTCGAACGGGGACAAACAGGTACAGGAGCATCTCTCAATTGCAGCTCAAATATTTACGTTTCCATTTAGAGTGGGGAAGTGGAAGTGGAAGTGCAGCCTCACGGCTCCCCAGAGTCATTTTCAACTTCATTTGTTGTGCAAATAGGCGAAATGCATGGCCATCTTCAACGAGCACCGTAAACTCTTTCCTTTCCGAATTAATTCGAAGTCATATTTTGCTGCAAAAGCTTTTTTGGGCAGCCTTTCCATTTATTTTTCTTGCAGTTTTTCTATCTTCTTTTTTTTTTTTTTTTTTTGGTTCTTAATTAATTGAAAATATCTTTTGTGGGTTTCGGGTCCGAGTGGCTGGCTGGGATGGCACACAAATTGACAGCCAGTTGCAGCTTGTATTCAAATGGGAGGTGTCGAGTGGCATTCAGGGCAATTCCCTTCCGATTTCCACTTCTCCGGATCCAATTTCCATTCAGTTTTCATTCATTGCCCCGCCCACAAGTGCCTCGTCCCTGCCGGCATCCCGGCAGCTCTTTCACTCATGTTTAATCCTCTTTAAGCGGCAACAGAACGATTACATTTTGATTTTTTTTTCTGTTCTCTATTTTCTGTCCTGTATCCTTTCGGTGGTCGTTGTCGCTTTTGCTTTTATTTGCACATTTCCGCTGCGACTAATCTGCAATTATGTTTTACATAAAAATCCTATCACATCCCATACAACAACGCGGGAGGATGGAAGTTTTCCAACAACTTTTGTCCAAGCTTGATTGTTTTGCCTGCTGAGATAGTTGCGAAATACAAATATCAAACAACTGCTAACAATAACAGGAAGCTGGAGCCAGAAACACCAGCAGCTTTCAGAGACAACACTGTGAATTAACGCTGGTAGCTGCGTCTGGGCCAACGTTGCGTATACGTATTAAATTCAGCATTAACATCAAAGCTATAGAAAATCACAAAGAGTTGGGTGAAATTATTGATGTGCTAATGTATTGGCATAATAATACACTTTTTTCATCCATGTTATGATTCTACTACAAGAAAATCAAATATCAAAGGGAGTTTGGGTTTGATGTAACAGAACAAAAAAATTAATATGAAAATGACCAGTAATGATTGAAACAACAAAAGATATTTAAATATTACAAAAAATTAACATATAAAAATAATAGCTTAACATGAAAGGGAACTATGAAGTAATTGAATTACACGACTTTCATACAAATTATTTTTAATAAAAACAGAGAAAACAAATCAAAATGGAATAAATGAAATACAGTTTGTATATAATAATTTTTTAATGAGTAAATTATACACGGAAAAATGTGAGTTAACCTTTACAGTTGATTCTACAATTCAGTGCTGTATTAATTAATTGCTCTGTGTAGTGAAGCTCCAAAGTTTAATTGTCTAGAGGGCTCATACCACATGACTAATTAAAGCCGCCTAATTATGGTTCCCCATTCCTCCCAGCAAGGTCGAATCAAAATGCAAACAAATATATCAATTACTAATCTGCATGTTAATTACGCCCCATTAAACTGAAATCACAATGGCGAAACTATTAACGGAACTGAGATCAACAGTTGAAATGCCACGCAATTAGGCTAAGAACCAGCTGTGTGTGTGTGTGTCAGTGTGTGTGTCTGTTTTGACCAATCTGCTTAGCTTCTAAGCATATTTAATAACTGCGGCAGAGCTCAAGACTCGTAGATGGAAATCCAAACCCTCTATGAATGCTCGATGCATTCAGAAGCATTTACGTGCTGCTGCTGCTGTTGCTGCTGCTGCTGCTGCTGTTGCTGCTGCTGCCGGACCCACATCATATTCACTTTGAGTTATTTCAATTGCAAGTCACTTGGAGAGATTAAATGGCAGCCCGGGCACCGGAACTCCAAACCCAACCCAACCTTTTTCGGGGGTCCAACCTGATGGCCATAAATGCGCTTGTGGTTGATAGGTGGCTGCTGCCCAGGTGGTTTAGTGGGTGGCGGCTATGTCAGCTGTTGGCCAGCTGCCTCGGCTTTCGAATGCATTTCGTACACGATAATCATGTTGGTGGCTGCAACTTGCAGCTTGCAACTTGCATCTGCAGCATGCGTTGCATTTGCAATTCCTGGCTATCCTATCGAGATGGCCGTCGCCCATGGTCGATGGGCCTGTCTAGCAGAGCCTGCTGTGGCCTGTCGTGGTGTGGTTTATGGCAACATCTTGTCCAATTTATTACCACTTTCATTTGGTAGCATAATAGGCAATGCACTTCCACGCACACACAAAATTGCACAGGGAAAAAGGTTACATATTTTGTTACTCATATAAATAGATGAATAATTTCATTTTCTTTCAACTTATATTTTTGTATGTTAGATTTTTATATTTTTCCCCTTTATTTTTTGTTTTGTTTTGATAAATTTCCCATTCGATCCTAAAATTCATTAGCAAGGCTATAAAAACTTAAGTTTTTTTATGTTAGATTCCTTTCTTGCTTATATTGTAATATTTTTTTCCTCTGTACAGGACGCACTTGTGGCAAAATGTTGCCGTCCGGCCAGCATACACATATATCTATAACACGTAGCACTCAAAAATACTCAAACATTGAAATTGGAGTTCTAGTTTTTGGTTCTCGTCTCGTTTCTGCTTCATCAGTTACATGCTTTGAATAATTCAAGCGTATTTTAGGCCTTTGCTAGGCGAAATTTATTTCTGCTTTTTGCTATACCCCTTCTGCTGCTGCTGCTGTTGCTCTAGCTCCATTGCATAGACGGCTTTTGTCTGCCTGGAAAACTTATTAAATTATTTCAAAATCATCCAAAACTATCATTCCTGTCAGTCACAAAGGCACAACCCTTTATGTTGTGTGCCTGCTGTGCTGTCTTGGAAAACATATCAAATTTAACACTTTGTGGGAATTTGTTGTGAAACTGCAATTATTACATATTAAGCAAGCGGGATTAGCATAATTCAACGGGACTAAGTTCAAAAGACTCTTTCACATTATATGTCTACGTATACGTAACGCGCTTCTGCCACGTTACGTATACGCAATGCTTGACGCCAGCCATTTGTGCTGCATATCCCCAGGCGCAGCTGGCAAAAAATATCTGGAGACGCGAGGAGCAGATTTCCCGCACAGTGGTTTATTGTTTAATATTAGATCAAAGAAAGATGCCAAAATAAAGTAAAAAATATAGTAAAGAATAAATTAAAAAATAATTAAACTAAGCAAAATTTTCATTTATTTTATACATTGCATACAAAACAATTATAATCGTAAGCCTTTAGTTACTTGTCTTTATGAGATATATCGCTTCTGTTATGTCACTTAATATATATTTTAATTAAGTAAACTATCCTAAAGTAACCATATAACTTCCCTCAGTTATGCCACTGTGTGGCGGTTGCTGAAAAACACAACTCAAGTGTTGAATGCAACCACCGACACTTTCTACTCCGCACCCCCTTTTTGTGTCTTTTGTGGCCTTTCGCTGTTTGTCAACAGCAGTAGCAGTAGCAGCAGTGGCGGCGGGGGCAGGCAACACTTGAGGGGGTGTGTCAGGCGTGTAGGCGCTTTTTAATTGCACTGAAAACAAAACTAACAGCTAAACACTTGTTGGCCGCCCGACTGCCTTCCAGCTAGTTGTCGCGTGGCAAGTGGCAAGTGGAAAGTTAAAAGTGGCGAGTGGCGGGGTGGTGGTGGTGGTGTCATCAAAACCCCTTCAAATGGCAAAAACAGTAGTGCCGCCGCCGGCGCCTCTGGCAATTGCTGATGTTGCCTCTCTTTGCTGTAACTGTTCTGTTCCAGCAACTGCAACTGCAACTGCCTTTGATTGTGCCCCATAACTGCGAGGCAGTGGCAGAGCTTCCATGTACCGCCATTGTGTCGCTTGTGAAGTTTCGCTTTGATCGCATTGTAACATTTTGCGACAGTTTTTAGATCGTAATGGGCTCCACGGGAGGAATGGCGAAAAGCGAATAAGAATATGGCAACAATTCTGAATTGGATCAAAGATACCAAGTTAAGGCGATAACAACTGCACAGTTTACAAATTGAGAGTAATTTAAGTGAGAGAAGTGAATGGAAAAGTTCTTAAGATAAAGCTTAAAATGTCCTAAAATTGTTACAGCAAATATAACTGAAATAAACTTTTAATATTATATTTTCGTTTATTATATTTGAATTTCAGTTAGACTACATGAATCATTTATAAACACACATATTTTCTTTGTTGCCTCACATAACTTATTTGTCTGCATAACAAGTCTTCAAAACCTTTACACATTTATTGATATTTTCCATTAAATTAAGTTAACAATCAAATACATTTTTCGCCTATTTTGTAATATTATTTATGCCTTTGCCTGAGCATTTGATTGTCCTGCTCCGCTCTCTCTCTCTCTCTTAAATATGATTGCCACATTTAATTAGCCGATTGGATAAGATAATGGAGTTAATTTTCAATTTGGACCTTTTCAGTGCGGACACTTTGCCATGTAGTTCGATTTATTGTGCGCTTCGTTTGGGGCAACATGTTTAATTAACGAACACAATGGAGGCCGGCGATGGCACGAGTTTGTCACTGACGTTCGGTGAAATTTCTGACTCTCTGGTGACATTTGAAAAGTTTAAAATAATATAATTTTCAACGCTATATGGCAAACTAACAAGTTCGACTTGAAAGTCGAATAGGAGGAGAAGGAGGTTTTGGGGTGTGTATTTTTGGGGATGTTTTCGGGGGAATTTTCGGGGAATTTGTCTTAGCTAACTTTTCGTCCAGGAAAGGAGAAACTTTTTCGGCTGCACTGTTGCAGGCACCATCACACATACACACACACACACACACACACACACACCAAAACACCAACACACCTACACACACACACACGAGGATCTATTGTAAAATATGTAAGAAAGTTTCCTTAGCTTGGCTGGGAAAACGCTGCGTTTTTGGGGAAAAGCTCCAGCAGCAGCAGCAGCATCGACGTTGTCTTTGGGGAAATTAAACATTTTCTATTTGAAAACTTTGCCGTGTGAGTGGGATTTCCACGGGGGTGGTGGCTTTTCCTCGGGTTCAAGAGCAACAGTTGCCTTTTTGAACTGTTTCGGGTCACACTTTTGCATTACATTAGTCCCCTTTGTTCCACCAACAATTGCGGAAGTCATAATTTTTCCGCAGTTTTCTTGGTTTTGGTTTTTGACAAATTTAGCAGCAAATTGCCAGCAGATTTTGCCCAGTCAGAAACTTTAGTTTTGAGCATTCCAGAAGAGTCGACGATGGATAGATGCTTGGACTGGGTGCTGGGGAATCGAGTTTTGTGTCCGGGTTTTCAGATCCAAATGTCAAGCGGCTTGCTGTCATAGGTGTTGAATATTTAATGCGCCGACGCCAATGGCAAAACGAGCACTACACTGAGAAAATTTTAACAAAATTAATTGATTTCTATTAAAAGATATTAATATTGAAAACAACATAAGAGTAAGATGGTTAAAACGAGACTATTTCTTAACCATTTCTGGAACACACTGAACAAATCATTTCCGACCCTATATATCATATATATTCTTGATCAGCATAAACAGCCGAATCGATCTAGTTTGGTATAGTAAAATATTGCTTTTCTTATAGGTATACGAAGACCAAAAAGGCTATTTTTGCTAAAAGAACAATGCTTCGTAAATTATATTTTAAATGTACAACTAAAACTTTTACTACCTAATTTAAAATGAGCTTTAAACTACCGATAAATTAATATTATTTTCCAGAAAACATTTGTGGATAATAACTGCTCAAATTGTATATTATTTATATTTTTCCCGTGCAAAAAAAAACAAGGAGGAGCATCCCCAGCATAGCGATTCAGACAAGTGCACCCAAAGTGCATGCAAATATTTTTGTCAACGATTGTTTTGCCGGCTCCCTCGATTCCGAATGGCGAGCTGTGACTGCAAACTGTGTGGAAAATAAAGGCGGGCGGCGATGGCGTTTGGCTGTGGGAAAACCCTAGGAAAAGCGGGTCAGGGAAAGAGGGTACAAGGTCCCGTGGCTGCTGCTGCTGTTGTTGTTGTCAACCGTTTGAGTAATTGTCGCTGGTGTGAAAACTGGCAACGATGCCGAGCTGCAAAAAGGATTTACTGTGTTATGTATGAGCCAAAGGCTGATTGAGATGAAGGAGCAGCTGGATCGAGCACTAAATGGCCATCACTGGACGTCTATGGCATCAGTGATGATTGCCAAAAACCGAAATAATCATTATGTACGCGAATAAAGCCATGGCAGTTGTGTCAAAATTACTAAATAGAAATAATATAATTGCGAAAATGCATTTAAATTACAATTGAGTTTCGCTTTAATATAATTTCGCTATAAATTTATACTTTTATAGTACAATTTAAACAATTTCTTATCGAAAAAATCCAGCTTGTATCTCACTAATGCACTAATAAAAGCTTTTGCCTGATTCAACTCAAATAAAATCAATTAATTCGAGCTAAAAAAGAAACGCACAAAATAATTATTTGATTACAAAATGCGCCTGGCAGATGATTTTTCACCACAGACTCCGGGGGAAGAATAAAAAACATAGTTTTCACAGAGGGGAAAATTGAAAACACCGCTGCTCCTGCATGCTGACACAAGCGAAAAAACTATCACCGAAAAAAAAGAAATAAAGAAAAAACTGTGATAAAAACGCGACAACCCAAAATGATTTTCACATTGATGAAAATTAAATGCGAGTCGTGGGCAAACCGATGCGATGCGCTGCATCTGCTGGGGCATTATCAAATAATTCAGTTGTAATCTATTTTAATCCGCCAGGATGGCCGGCGAAACGCGCCCCCAGTTGACATTTCGAATCATCAAAATGTTTGTTTGCTTGACCCCACAACTCGTTACCAAATAGCCCGCGCATTGTCCTTTGCCAGTCAGCCGGCTGTGAATGTATTTATTTCCACATTTTGCTAAACATTTACCAGATTTAAATTCGCATTCATGTAAAATCGCATAAATACATACAAAATACCAACATCGAATGATGGAATATACCCATATATATGTTTATATATCAGTGACACACATTTTTTTCCTATGCGTGAGAATTATTCAAATGATTTAAGCAGCTTAGTGTAATGGCTGGTGAGCTTTGGCCGGAAAATCGAAATAGGCTGGAGCGGGAACGTGAAAAGCGGCTCTAAGCGAAAAGACTCTATGTGGTTGCTTAAATTATACAGTAAAATTTGGCAATATGGATTAACGAGTTCATAAAAACGGTCACTGAATTAACAATTGTTTTGGGAAATATTACCATTGGCGTTTGAAATCAAAAGCCAGAGGAAAAGTTTGTATGTAAATATACAAAATATCTGTGCATTTATACAATATTACTAACCATGTATGGCTTACATATTTTGCTACTCGTTCAGGAACAGCCTTACTTTCTTTAGTTCAAGGCTGAATATTATTAGTTCTTAGCCTTGGCATAACATTTGCGTTTCAAGCATCAGCAAAAATAAATCATTTAAAAGTAGGAAAACCAAACTGAAACACATAAAAAAAACCCCATTTAATACTGAAGCTATTTCCCTCTTAGATACAATACCTGTAAAGCCAAAAGACTTATGACTTTACAGATAAGAAATATACCAGCTCACAACACCTATAAAAGAGGTTGCATTGGCATTCTAAAGTATAGTTTGTGAAAATGTCTCGAGTTGTCTGGCCCCTTCTACTGATCGCTCTTTCGTTAGGAGTCATCCATGGGGAGAACTACACAAATCGTATCATTGGTGGCTCCTCAGTGGACATCAAGGAGGCTCCTTACCAAGCGAACATTATTGTGAATGGAAATCCTTGCTGCAGTGGTGCCATCATTGGTAACAAGAGTATCCTCACAGCAGCTGGATGTGTTTATGGATGTTCCACCAGTTCGGTAAGGGTTCGAGTAGGCTCCAGCTCTAGAGAAGGCGGTGGAACTCTGGCCAGGGTCTGCGGCATAAATAGTCATCCGCAATACTCTTCCGATCGCTATGACAACAACCTGGCCATTTTGGAACTTTGTGACCGCCTGAATTTCACGGACTCCGTTAAATCAATCAACGTGACGGATAAGGTGCCGGATGATTTATCCCTAGCCGAGGTCACCGGTTGGGGTTCCACCAGTTGGTGGGGCAGCTGGTGGGACAGGATCTTTGGCAGTCTGCCAGATCAACTGCAAGTTGCCACAGTGAGCTTCTACAATCGGGAACAGTGCGCCTATGACCTATCTGGTTGGTTCTGGGTCACGGACTATGGTGTCTCGGAACTGACCATTTGCACTTATAGTTACAATAAGGCAGCCTGCTCCTACGACATAGGAGCTCCGCTCGTTAAGAACAAAAAACTCGTGGGTATTCTCTCCTATGGCGGCTGCACCACATATCCCGATGTTTACGCCAATTTAATCAGATTCATGAGCTGGCTGAACGAGGTGACAGCAGCCAGTGAAAAAACTACTATAAAAGCACCAAGTAATACTACAAGTACTCCAACAACTACTAGGCCTGCAGGCTCTAATGCTACTACGCCTGCTGGTTCCACAGACCGCAACTCTACTTCGTCGTCAAGTCATACGAAACTGCCCACAACTACTACATCTAAAGGTTCTACAACCCACAGAACTACTACGACTGAAGGTTCTACTACCCACAAGACTACCACGTCTACAGAAACTACAAAGCGCGAGACAGCACCTACAACTACGTCTAAAAACTCAGAGAATATGGATGGAGAAGAAGATCTGAAGAAAGATCTGCATTTTAGTCGTTAGCGGATACAGCTATGGCAACGACCGAAGGAACCTCCCAAATAAATTTTCTTGCCCTTAATTTGTTCGATTTATTTTAATATTAATTAAAAAAGAAAGTATATCCCTCAATAAAGGATCTAGCACCAAAATTAAAGCCTCATGTGTGACCTTCTGTATTCACTTTTTATACCCTTGCAGGGTATGTATATAACTTTAGTCAGAAGTTTCCAACGCTGTCATAGAAAATCCAAACTGTGAGTATATAACTCTAAATTCAATATGTATCGGTGAATGTATTGAAATTAGGCAATACTTCTTTGTTTTTTTTACTTAAATTTATATATATAATATATAATGATTGAATTGCAACTTCCAAGGGTTTACAAACTTTGGAGTCCCTAAGTCCCTATCTCTAGAGATATCTCTATCTCTCTATCTCTCTATCTATAACTCTACACCAGAAAGCATTATACAATGACATAAAAAGATTTCTTTTCATTCGATACATGAATATCGTTACCAAGATATACTAAGTAGAAACTAAAAATTAAAGTTAAATTAAAAATAAAATAAATATCTCAGAACTATGTTAGAAAGGCTCCTTTCCAACAAATAAAACATATACCAGATTGATATCCTCTATGTACTTAAGTTAATTATATTAATTTTTTGGTCGGCCAACAAAAATCCCAAAAACAAATGGTGGCTCGAAAAGGAAGAGGTAGGAGATTTAGTTCTAGGCTGAATATTATTAGTCCTAGCCTTGGCATAGCATTTGCATATTAAGACTCAGAAAAAAACATTTAAAAGTAGAAAAACTAAACTATAACTCTTAAAATAACCCCGTCTAACACTGAAACTATTTCCCTCTTACATTCAAAACCAGTAAAGCAAAATGACTTACGACTTTAGAGATAAGGTATACCACCGCACAACACCTATAAAAGAGGTTGCATTGGCGTTCTAAAGTATAGTTTGGGAAAATGTCTCGTTTTGTCTGGCCCCTTCTATTGATCGCTCTTTCGTTAAGAGTTATCCATGGACAGAACTTCACAAGTCGCATCATTGGTGGCTCCTCGGTGGACATCAAGGAGGCTCCTTACCAGGCGAACATTGTTGTGGATGGAAATCCTCGTTGCAGTGGTGCCATCATTGGTAACAAGACTATCCTCACGGCTGCTCGATGTGTATATGGATGTTCCACCAGTTCGGTAAGGGTTCGAGTTGGCTCCAGCTCCAGAGAGGGCGGTGGAACTCTGGCCAGGGTCTGCGGCATAAATAATCATCCGCAATACTCTTCCGATCGTTATGACAACAACCTGGCGATTTTGGAACTTTGTGACCGCCTCAATTTCACGGACTCCGTTAAATCAATCAACGTGACGGATAAGGTGCCGGATGATTTATCCCTAGCCGAGGTCACCGGTTGGGGCTCCACCAGTTGGTGGGGAAGCTGGTGGGACAGGAAATTTGGCAGTCTGCCAGATCAACTGCAAGTCGCCACGGTGAGCCTCTACAATCGGGAACAGTGCGCCAATGACCTATCTGGCTGGTTCTGGATCAAGGACTATGGTGTCTCGGATCTGACCATTTGCACTTATAGGTACAATAAGGCAGCCTGTTCCTACGACACAGGAGCTCCGCTCGTTAAGGACAAAAAACTCGTGGGTATTCTCTCCTATGGCGGATGCTCAAAATATCCCGATGTTTATACCAATTTGATCAGGTTCATGAGCTGGCTGACCGAGGTGATAACAACCAGTGAAAATACCACTGATAAAGCACCAAGTAATACTACAACTACTCCAACAACTACTAAGCATGGAGATTCTAAAGGCCCTAATTCTACAACGTCTGCCGGTTTTACAGGCCTTAATTATACAATGGCTGCAGGTTCCACAGGTTTTAATTATACTAGGCCTACAAGTTCCACAGACCGCAATTCTACTACGTCAAGTTATACGAAGCTCACATCCAGTACGTCTAAAGGTTTTACAAAACCGAAAAGTACTACGTCTAAAGGTTTTACAAAACCGAAAAGTACTACGTCTAAAGGTTTTACAAAACACAAAACTACTACGTCTAAAGGTTCTACAAAAGACAAACCTACTGCATCTAACGGTTGTTAAGCCCAGAAGATTTCTATCAATTCTTCGAGTCTATGGAAAAAGTTCTCTAACGAAATGAATGGCACCTCATAAGTAAATTTTCCTGTCCTTAATTTGTTCAATTAATTTTAATAATAAATTGCAATGCTGTCATAGAAACCATCTTTAAATGTAGATGAAAATCCAAAACTGAGTTTAAATCTAAAATTTGTATATGTATCGGAGAATGTATTGAAATTAGGCATAACTTCGGCGTCCGGAAGTTGGTTTATGCCTATTTCTCCCTGTGTATCTTTAAGATATCACTTTCTCTCTGCCTATCTCTAGACACAACTATTTCTCCTCCCTGCTGTTTACATCTATAGTGCTTGTGATAATACATAGTAATGATAGTGATTGCTCTTCGACCCCGAACAAATTTCACCTGTCCATCTGAAGAAACTCACTTTGATGACACCATGAAAAGTCTTCAAGAAAATAACTTTAAACTGGATAGAAATAAGCAATGACGTGTGTCTTCAACAGCGGTAAGTCTTATCCATAACAATTATATCATACAGATGCTATAACTTTTTCAGTTTTTCAAATAATTTCAACTAATTTAAGATAAAGGCATTTGTGCCGGAGTACCGTTTTTGTTTTTTCTTGATCTCTCGAAAGCTACAATCCTGAGGCTGCACTCACATACTTTGAGATCCTGTAGAATGCAAATGTTTCCTGCAATAGCTTCGGGCCAGTTTAATTATTCATGATGGCTGCGTCAAACAGAAGGATCAAGAAAAGAGATTTTTCGTTACTCGACACTTGGATATCCTTAACAAAAATTAATAAGTAGAAAGTTAAAACTCATCAAAGCTTGAACAAAACAGTATTAACTTATCCACTAATTAATTTAAAAATAAATATCTCAGAAATATAAATTTAAGAAATGACTCTTTTCCAACAAATAAAACATATTGCAGAACACTTTCTGATAACCTCCCTGTACTTAAGTTAATTAAAGTTTATTTTTTGGTCGGCCAACAAAAAGCCAAAGACAAATGGTGGCCCGAAAAGGAAGAGGTAGGAGCTGGGACAACATGGCCGGTGATGAAGAGTCCCCTCAGGTTGACACCATTTATAAGCTGCCAGTAGCTGCCTCCAGCTGCATTCGTTTGCGGCAAGTGCAGCCGCGTCGGGTTCGGCTTGCCACATCCTGGCAGACTGGCTCTGACTGGCTGACAAAATCAAGATCTGGGGACATGGGATTTACTTGAGCCGGGCCGGGCCAGTGCAAAGCAGGTTGGTAGTGGTTGCCTTTGCCAGAAAACGAAAATACTTTTAGTGCAAATTGAAAAGTTCTCTCCGCTTGGAAAAATATCTGCGAGCAGATGCCAATGCTGATGCTCCTGCCTCAAGGACATCGACACGAAAGCCGTTTCTGACCATTTATCAGAATGTTATTGGCCAAAAGACAAAAAAACGAAGAAGGAGGAGAGCCAGTATGGGTAAAAGTAAAAGAAAAACCAAAGAAAGGACAGCCGGGAGAACGAAGACAACTGCAATAAAATGCAATGTTTCTATTACAGCGATTTACGTGCACACACCGAGTTTGTAAGGCAGTGATAACTCACTACATGTCTCTGGAGATAGCCATCTTTTTCTCATTAGTATTTGATTTTTGAGTAACTTTCATATTCAGAGTGAATAAAACCATATTTCATTAATTTCATTTCGATGGGAATTTTGAGTTAAGGTAAAGTTAATCATTTGATTCCAATTTGTAATCAATCTTTATCGAACTTTCAGTTTATGAAGAACTCTATTTCCAAGTGAAATATTTTTTCCCTTCCAATAAGCACTTACTGTATTACTCACTGCCCACTCCTGTCAGTTAGCATCCTCTAACCGCCGCGTGAGCAACATTTTTATGGCTTCTTGGGCGGGCGAAATGCTCTGTGTTTTGGCCAAAAGCAAAAGGACGACGCTGTCCTGTTGTCCTTCTAGCCGCCGTGACTTGTTGTAGTTGCTTAGTTGGTGGTGGTGTTTTCTGGGTTGTTTGTTAACTAGCAGGAGCAACCAACTGGCAGATAAGCAGCCGAGATGCTCCTCGTCCTGCCGCTGGTCAGATGCATTTATTTCCCTTATTCTCCTCGTGTGCATCGCATCCAGTGGCAGCTTCTTTTTTTTCTCTGGCCATTTTAATTGCTGTTGAACTTGGTGTTTTGGCAATTGCCCCGACAACAAAATGAAAACAAAATAAAAAGAAAAAAAAAACCATTACAACAAACCAGAGCAGCAGTAGTAGCAGCAAATCGAAGCAATATATTTGATTTAACTTGTTTGCACAAAATAGTTCTGTTGGCCTTTTTACTTTGGCGCGCACAAATAAATTTGTTGACGCGCTCCGAAAACTATTTTGGGAATTGCGGAGATTTGTGGCTGAAATGCAGAATTATTATGGCCATCGTGCAACAATTTATGGCATTGAACTGGATGGCCGCAAGTTTCGGGGGGCCAACTATTTGAGAATTAAGTTCAATTAAGTTGGTCGCAATTGAATGGGCGAAAAATAAATGTTAACTGCATTTGTTTCACAAACTAAAGTGTATAATGGAGGTATTTTTAAATAGTTGCATATAATGTAAACTTATTGTTCAGTGGCAACCGCATGCTAACGATTAAATATTTAACCTCTTTTTTATTGCCTCGTCTTTTTATTTATATATTATTTTAACCAAATTTTCATTTTCAAATTACGTCTAATATGTTTTTAATTCGTGCTCTAGGATATTTAATTGAATTTGTTATGCAAAGCGATCCGTTCGCTTGCTCTCTTTTCCTTTTCCCCCCCAAACCAACCAAAGTTTTTCGCAATTAAATTCCTCTCACACGAGGAGCACTAATACGCAGATGGAAATGCGAGGAAAAACATTTAAATTAGGATTAGTTCCGTATGTGCGTGAGCTTTTAAATCAAAACATATGCAGACAGCGGGATGCGTTTTCATTTTTGGCCATTCGGCATAAATATATATATACATGTATGTATATATATTTCTAAACGCCGCGGGAATATTGATTGGGCTCGAAAAGGAGGCTAGGTGGGTGGCGTAGGTGGGTGTAGTATATGTGTATATGCTGTGTGTGGCTCACACACATAAATTAATGTCCTAACACAACATTTGTAACTGAGCAGCCAGCCGCCGCTGGTCATTGGCCCGCGGCATTTCGCGGACAATCAGAGACACTCCGAGGCTAGCACGTCGTCGAGCGCATTTTCAAATTATATTATATTTTTGAATGGCTTTTTAGAAATTAATAATTACATATGACAGGCAGGGTATATGCGTGTGTGTGCGGGTGTGTGTGCTGCGTGTGAGCATGAACGGTTGTACGTGGCATTTAATTTTTTGTATTATGCAACTGTCATTGCCACCGTAACCAGCAAGCCACTTTAAAGGTCCTGGAAAACGATGCACAATCTAAATAAGCGTTTTAAATTTCAATAAGATTATTAAAAAACAAATATATAACTTAGAAGAAGAAAGTATAAATTTCCAAAAGTCGTATGTAAATAACAATGCATTATCATCAGTAGGGAATTCAAACTTGCATCCTATTTACGTTGTAAATAATTTTTCACCACTACTTTCTGAAATTAAAATATATTTATGTTAATATATATATATGTATTTGTAAGTATTCTAAATGTTACAATATAAATTTAATAATTAAAAATAAAACAGAGAAAAAATCAACTTACTTCCATAGGATTTTTATACCCTTGCTGGGTATTATAACTTTAGTCAGAAGCTTGATACGCCGTGAAGGAATCATTTCCCACCTCATAAAACATATATATTCTTGATCAGCAATAAAAGCCGAATCAATCTAGCTATGTGCGTCAAAAATTTAATTTTTTCAAAATTTTTCTTTAAATTTTCGTTAAAATTTGCAAAAATTGATAAAATTTTACATATCTTAAAATGTTAAGTTAAGTATGAAGATTTATAAACCTAATAAAAACTAGCTTAGGAACGCTTTCCGATCTGAAATTAAAGCTTTTTTGACTGAGTAATGGGTTTTTTAAATTTTGAGTGGTTGGAAAAGTTGTCATATAAAAATATCAAAAAAATAACTATTCAAAAAAGGAAAATATTATTTGTAATCGATTTCAAATTCGATCCTATAATTCAATTCTCGAACTTAACTTTCTTTCTTACATTTGATTTTGAAAATAATTATAAAAAAACTAAATGAATCAATTCTATTCGCTACTAGTTAATAAAAATTAAGAAATATATTTTATATTTAAATTTGGTATTCTAATCTTCATGTAGATTCCTTTAATGCTCTTACCTTTCTCCTCAAATGTATAAACTCCAATTTCTTTTCCTGAATAGCATAATGTCCCATACATTTTCCGCCATTGTGAGGCTGCTACATCTGTGGTTTACTTCTTATTTTTCTTTATTTTTTTTTTCGGCTATCCCATATCACATTTGTATCCTTCCGGTTTCCCTACGCTATTTTGTAGGTCCCCATACGCAGACCGATTCCAGAAACTGAATACTTTGGGCCTTCCCCCATTATTAATTGCTAACGTGCGCTGATTTCTATGCTACACTTTTTGCGGCCCGCTTTCTTCGTCCTGTGTGCGCTGTGTTTCTTGTGTTCGGGTTATTTGTTGTTGCCTGGTCGGTCTCCTTTTTGGCCAATGTTCAATGCCATTTAACCCTTTCGTTCGCTGTTCACTGTTTTCGTTGTTCGTTATTCGTTATTCGGTGTCTTGTCCATTTGGCTCGGCAGTGACATTCATGCACCGGCGAGCAAAATGTCGCTCCGGCAGATGAGCGAGGTCCTTGGCCAAAAGGGAGTTGGTAACGGCGTCGGCTCAGTTTGGCAATAAATCAATGCATCCCGTTTGTTTTTTGGTCAACGGCAACTTAAAGCCACTAAGCTTTTGTTAAATTTAATGCATTTCGCAGGGCTTTTCCCTTTAACAAGAAAACCATGTCGAGTTTCGCTAATTAGCTGCATTTTTATGCAATGCAAGCGATCTATTATTTTTACTCAATATCAGATGTGACACATAATTCAATCTGTCATCGGTTGGTACAAGAAAATGTAATCATGTCTGATGTTAAATAAATAATAATAAAAAAATTT